TATATAAATAAAAATCAGAAAAAAACTATTTGATTATGTGTGAAAGTGTCACTAATAACGGAGTAACATTGAGTCCACTTAAAATTATTTTTAAAGTGAGTTGTTTATAATTACTCACAAATTATTTGCCATATCCCTGGTAGAATTACATAAGAGAATGAATGTGTTGGGGCATCTTGGCATAAGTCTTGGAAACCAGTGTTCTAGAGCTTCTAGCTCTAATAGAGCAACGACTCGACATATGTGGCTGTTGAGCACTTCAAATCTGGCAAGACCAAAGTACAATGTGCTATATGTGTAAAATATACATCAGATTTGATGCCAAAAAAAGAATGCAAAATATCTCTTTAATATTTTATGCCAATTACATGTTGGATTAATGTGTTAGATTAAATAATGTGGATTATTAAAATCACCTGCACCTGTTTCGTTACACTCTTTTTAAAATGTGCACTCAGAAAAATGAGAAATTATACCTCATTTGATTCAAATGTATGATATGTCAAGATCATTGTACTGTCATGTGTAACTAATTAAAACAAATTAAAAAATAAAAAATAAAAATAAAAATGTGCCTATTAACAATATAAAATACAAATGTTGCTTGCATTAGATGCCTTTTGGATAGCACTGTTCTATAGAGGAAAAGACCAAGCTAGAAGACCTGCAGCCTAATTTTTTGCTGCTTTTCAATAGCTGTGTGACTTTGGGCCTTTTCTTCCACTTTGTAGCCCTAGTAAAGAGTAAATTCATTCAGCAAATATTTAGAGCTCTTACTACATGGAAAGAACTTGCCTAAATGAAATGAGAAGTTCAAGATGTGAAACTGTCCACAAATTTAAATTATTGTTTTCCCATTTCATGCCTATACATGAAGACAGACATCAACAATGGAAATTATTTCATCACTTCATTCTTTTCCACATTTTATCTAAAAGAATGAAAATTGTATAAGATGCTCAAAATCAGAGATCCCATATACCCAGAGTATATGTTCTTTTTCTCCTCTGAGTCTTGAGTTTTGAGTACATGTTCCAGTTTTCCCAGAGCTCCCACAGCTCCACATTTACTTCAAAAATAAGTGCACTGTGGCAGACCTTTAGTGGACCTCATATTTGTGCTTTTATGTTGTCCCATAACACAATGACTCAGATCTTAGCTAATATGAATTACTTTGGCCAGTAAGATTTTTTTTTTCAAGAGAGCTTGTCTGTTTTTAATGTGACAGATATTAATCTTATAGTTCATTGTGAGTCCTTCCCACCCCTGTCTCAGCTCCTAGGAAGCTCAAAGTCAAATTTACAGGCGATCTTTTTCTTAGTAGAGCATTATAGTTATACACAGTAGTTTAGTTCATCTTGACAAATTCATACATGCATGGAATTTGATTTCAGTTCATGTTCCCCCTGATTTTCCCTTCCTCTTCAATCTGCCCCCATTCTCTTTCCTCTACTCTACTGATCTTCCTTTTGCTCATTTTTTATTTTTGATTGGTTCTTTCTACTAATGAATAAAGGTAAAATTCCCTGTGGTATATTTATATATGCACATATCATGATTTTTAAAAATTTATTCTGCATTCCCTCCCCTTACCGACTCCTCCTCTCTCCCTCTGGATCTCCTTCCTCTACTCTACTGATTGTCCCTATATCTTTATGATATCTGATCCTCCCCTCCATCCTTTCTTTATTTTGCTGTTGCTTCCATATATGAGAGAAATATTTGACCCTTGACTTTCTGAGACTGGCTTAGCACTTAGCACTTAGCATGATGTTCTCCATTTCCATCCATTAACCAGCAAATCCTATGATTAAATTTTTCATTATGACTGAGTAAAACTCCATTGTGTATATATACTACAATTTCTTAATCCATTCATCTATTGATGAACATCTGGGTTGATTCCAGAATTTGGCTATTGTAAATTGTGTTGCTCTAAGGATTGAGGTGAATTCATCACTATATTGTGCTGATATTAAATCCTTTGGATAAATACCAAGGAGTGGAATAGCTGAGTCATGTGGTGGTTTCATTCATAGTTTTTTGAGGAATATCCATAATGCTTTCCAGAGTGCTTGCAACAGTCTGCTGTCCTACCAGCAATATATGAGAGTATCTTTTCCCCCCACATCCTTGCCAGTGTTCATTATTGTTTTTGTTCCTGAAAAATGGTACTCTAACTGGACTGAGACGAAATCTTAGTGTACTTTTGATTTGCATTTCCTTGATTGCCAGAGATGTTGAACATTTTTTTTCATATATTTGTTTGGCCAGTGGTATATTTAACACACAAGATAAAAGTAGAAGGCTGATAAGCACTTGTTCTCTGAAAATCATCTTTTTGAAACACTTCTTGGACCCCCACAGCTATGCTGTGAGGAATCTCAATCAGTCCCTTGGGAAGGTCCACTTGGAAGAGGAAAGAGCTGGGGGTTCATTCACATAAACGATTCTTAGCCTGGAGTGATTTTTCCCCCTGGGAAATATTGGACAATGTTTGGGAATACTTAGGATTCTAAAATTGGTGGAGAGGTACTACTGGCATTTCATAGAGACCAGGGACGCTGCTAAGCTTCCTTCAATGTACTGGACAGCCCTACAACAAAGAATTACCCAGCCTATCAGCTGTGCTGAAATTGTGAAATCCACCCAGCTCAAGGTTTCTGCACAATCTGGCTCCTGTGAATCAAGGAAAAAGAGGCTTAGGAAAGAAGGTATTCATGCAGAATCTTCTAAAGCTACTCTTTTGAGCATGTACATTTCCCAATGATGGCTTTCTCTACAGTCCATTACTCATGTTGATTTTTGATGATCCCGATTAGTATTCTCATCTATTGCAATGGTGTATTTTCCCTTGTTTACATTCAGAACTTAAGCATAGTAAGTCATCAAACCATTGAAACAAAAACCACGTTTTTAGTTACCCCAACTCAGATATTGCTTCAACCTGGTGTTATCAAGGTCATGGGATGGGTGAGTCACAATTCAATGCTGGCATCCAAATCCCAATCCATTAAGCAGCCCAGTGACCAGGGGCTTTAATTTAAAATCCACTGGCCTTGTCATCAAAGAACCATGTCCCTACTATACTAACAGAAAGTTACTTTCCCTCTGAGTAGAACACATATATATTTAGAAGAATTCCATTATTAATCAATTTTGTTCATAAGTGAAACTTTAAAAATGAAAATTACAGTAATATTGCTGAGTAGTAAACTTTATTGGCAGAGTTTAAATATAATTACATTAACAGACTCATTCAATAAACATTTTAGACATATGGTTGAGTATAAGTATAAATCTCATTGATATGGTAATTTAGTATGCAAATTTAATTTAATCTGATTTATTATGATACATAGTCATGTATCATTTAACGTCTGGAATATGCTCTTAGAAATACATCATTAGGCGATTTCATCCTTGTGTGAGCATCATAGAGTGTAAAGGAACTAACAGTTACAACAGCACTAAGCAATATAATCTTTTGTGACTACCTTTGTATTTATGGTCCATCATTGAACAAAACACGGTTATGTGCTGCCTTACTGTGCATAGATTATAAAACACAGCAGGTAGGTTTTTTTAAAATATAACAAGTCATATAACAAGCAGAATAAAAAGGGGCAGAAATGCTACTGGAAATGGTGCTTGGGGCAACTTTTTGGTAAGCAGGAACATTCAGATGTTTAAAAGAATCACTGTATGTGTAAGGCATTCCACTTTGCAAAGTGATATGATAATTGCAATAATCTCCTAAATCCCAATAATATGAAGTTGAGTTAGACAACAGCTCAACTACAGGTGGCTTTCACTATGGGTAGAAAGCCAATTCTTGCCAAAGTTTGTAAAACCCAGCCATTTCTCTATCAGACTTAATAATCTACAGTGAATTGTTAAAACTGTGACCACCATCACTAGTGCCCATGCCTCCATGGAAACAGGACACATTTCTTCCCCTACACTTGATTTATGCCCAAAGGTTGGCTCTGGTACTGCATTAGCTTTTTGAGAAAACATTCTGGCTGGTTTCTGCCTGGAGAGAAGTGAGGGAGGTGCTGATTCCAGGGACGTCAAGAGACTGAGGCTGGGGGCCTATCTGGGTGGTTGGTGATCCTGGGATCAGGTTCTTGAGAATCCAAACGGCAGGAGGTCCTGATAGCTGGCCCAAGGACACCCACATTTACCTAAAAACGAGGTATCTGAGGGGATTTGCTTTGATCCAAGGCAAATCTTTCCACCTCCACCTGTGGTCAGGGTTCAAATGGTGGCCGGATATCGCTGGTTTTTGAGGACATGGAGCAACTCTATAGTTCAAGGATCAACATTTAACTATTAAGGACAGGAAGGTAAATATTTAAAGTCTTGTGAACCAAGAGGCAAAAGGGAAGATATTTTACAGGTACTTTTAAGAGACAGAAAACCAATTTTCAGTTTTATTGATAAAATCCAAAGTATAATAATATCTGAGTACTATTTTTGTAGTGAATATCTACTAATGAGAGAAAGGAATTCTTTCTATGAGGAAACATTTCTTTTAAATTGGGATTCAAAGGTGGTGAATGCTACCATCAGATAACGTGCAAAAGTGCTTAGCTCTCTGGTACAAACATAGGCAGCTCTGAGGGTTCGTCCCGCTGGCCAGAGTGTGCATATTCCTGCTAGAGAAGAACACCAGTGTTCTGCACTGGGTTTGGGGCGCACCACACTGGGAGGTCGCTCTTTGCTCCGCGGCACCTCCGTGGCCCCTTCTCTCATTTTCTCTGTGCCCTGTTAGTCCGGTTCTTCGGATTTCCCCTGTGAGGCAGGTCAGAGAGGTCAAGTGTCGGGTGGGAGCTCTCCCACGGAGCCAGAGCGCCTTATTGGTTCAGGACCACCCAGGGCTTCACAACCTGCCGCCTGGCCCAGTGGGCAGTCGCAGCTTCCCGGCACCCTCCAGCTGCCCTGCCACGCCCGCTCCTTCTCTCTCTCTCCCGCGTCCCCGGCTCCTCCTCCAGCTCCGCCCCTTTGCTCCGCCCCTCTTTTGGGTCCAGCCGCCGTGCTTTCCCGCTCCCGCAGCAGCAGCCGTCTTGTCGCTGAAGTTGTCGCTGTCGCTCTTGCTGCGCGCCCCTCGGATCCCACGCCTCACCATGCCCAACATCGTGCTTTTCAGCGGCAGCTCGCACCAGGACCTGTCCCAGCGTGTGGCCGACCGCCTGGGCCTGGAGCTGGGCAAGGTGGTCACCAAGAAGTTCAGTAACCAGGAGACCAGGTGGGGAACGCGCTCTGGCGGGCGCTCCGAGCGCGGCTGCGGTCCGGGACAGGGACCGACGCGTGCCCCAGCCACCTCCCCGGGCGCCGCGCTCCCCCTTCCGGGGCGGGACGGCGGCAACGCGGCCTCTGAGCCATAGCGGCTGCGCCCAGGGAGAGAAGTCTAGGAGGGGCACACGCAGCCACCCGGGCGTCCCTGCGTACGTCCGGGCTATCCCTCCGCTGGCCCGATCTCGGGCCCCGCGACCCGTCGACCCCCAAGACTTTAGGGTCCTTCCAGTCACGCTGCTCAGCCTGACTCCCCAGTCCGGAAGGGCGACATCGCGGGGTCACAGACCATCAGAGAGAGAATGGACACACTCGGTGGGAACTGTATCTGTGTAGGGCTAGGAGGAGGGATGTCCCTGGGTCTGCCTGTCCTGGTTTCTGTGACCCTGCAAGGCTGAACTACAGACCGGTGCGTGGAGAGGTTCCCCTCACGTCCGGTGCCCTGGCTGGTTTTACCTGGAGACCTTTCAAACGCTGTTTCCCGGGCCTGCCCCAGAGGTTCCAATCCAATGGGTGGACTGAGGATCCGTGTTTTTCCAAGTCCCCAGGTGACTCTCACTAGCAGCCAGGGTGCTTAGCACTTCGTTATCCTGAATCAGGTGAAGTTGTGCTGCGAAAGACTGTAAGAACTCCAGGACGCACGTGCTGGGCTCCCCTAGGCTTCCTCTAACTTGGCTGCCTTTGAGATGATGGACTTTCATCTTCTTTGTCGTTCTGAAATCTGCTGTGTAAAGCAGCAAGGCCCTAGTTCGGTATAAATTCCATCCATTTCTCAAGTCCACAAGTGGTCACCTCTGCTCATTTTGGTCAGGTGGTGTCCCTCCTCAGAAACTGGGCTGAGGGACTCCTTTTTTCATTTTGCCTGAGTCAACAAAGTGTTTTCACTAATTTCAAATTGGTCTCATTTCCCCCTCCCTCCTCAAATGTCTAGTACAGTTAGTTAACTGTACACAGTTACAGATAACTTTTATATCTGGCAGAGTTCCACTTCCAGTTCAACCTTTTAAGAAAAGGTGCTGAAACAGTTGGACAGCCAGATGAACAAAAAAGGAACCTCCATTTATACTTTCCATTAAATTTAATTCTATTAAATTAACTTGGAATGGATCATAGAACTCTAAAGCTTTAAAATTTCTAGAAGAGAGTATGGGAGAAAATCTTGATGACTTTTTGTTCAGCGAAAATTTCTTAGTGAAGAGTGACATTAATATTGATGGCAAAGATGCTTTTATTTGATTTTTAGGATATGTGAATCCTTTGTGACTTTATCCAGGTGGTGAATTCCAGTTACATGGCTCTGACAGTAATATAAGTGAATAGACTTTGTAGTTAGTGAGTGGCCTGTGGTATTACTGCCCAGAAAGCTCTGGCTAAATAATTCCACTTTGCAGAGTTTAGTGCACATGACCTGGAAGATGGTCAAGGGCTGTGGAGGACAAAGCTGGGTTTTAGTATTGCAATATTTGCCAGTCCTGTTCACGTTTCAGTAGTTCTGAGAACACCAAGAGTAATAGTTTTTGTTCACAAAGTGTTGTCATATAAATAAATGAGAAATTTCTGGATGAAGTGGGTTTTGAGAGCAATTATGTTGCCTTTCTGTGTTATCTCAGAACAGCACAATCCTTTGCTAAAGAGCGGAGTTAATCTATATCAGTTCATTGCTAAGTCAATGTTGTATTTCTGCTAAAAATATTTAATGACTGTTGGGTGAGACTCACTCAGACATTCAAGTATGATTGTTCATGCATTTGTTTTAAATATAAAGCAGACTCAATTTTTATTTGATTTTGAGTGCCATTAAACCACTGCTTGATAATTAGAAATCATAAGGTCTCAAAACCCACTCAACATGAAGACTCTAAGAATTGCTTGTATAGCTACATTTTATGTTTTTATTTATTTTTATTTTTAAATTTTTATTTTTTTAATTGTATACAATACCTTTCTTTTATATGGTGCTGAGGATCGAACCCAGGGCCTCACACGTGCTAGGCAAGCACTCTACCGCTGAGCTACAACCCCAGCCCCATTTTATGTTTTAATATGTAGAATATATAAAAAATAAATTTCTGAGTTTTCTGTTTCCCACAAACTGTATAGGTACAGAGGTTGATTTTTACCAATAGCCCTCTCAGTGCCAGGTGCTATACTAGTGATCTGGATTTCACAGTGGTTCTAGCAATGAGAAACAGAAGGGCAAAACGAAGAGAAATTTGATTCCATTCCCATAAGAAACCTTTTCCCACATCTCTCACTGAGCCAGGACCAGAAATCTGATGTGCAGGGAGGTCTACTCCAGCCACACTGTAGACCACAACACCCTTCAGTGACTTCCAGGACAACATTCATGGTTCTAGAGTCTCTATTGTACTTTTTACCCTAGTCAGGTAAAAATGTGCTAGCTGTATTGTGGGATGCTTAGCTGTATTGTGGGACCCAATGTTCTGGTTACCATGTAACAGATCACCCCCAGAAATTAAGGAGTTAAACCAGTAATTGTTTATTTGGCTTACAAATCTATAGTTTGGGCAGGGTTCAGCAAGGAAAGCTTGTTTCTGTTTCATATGGTGGCAACTAGAGTAGCTATGAGGGCTGGAGGCCATTTCCAAGGTAGCTGATTCACATGGCTAATAAATTCACACTAGCTTTTGTCTGGAAGCTTAGAAACCTAAGTTCCTCTTCCTATTAACCTCTTCACAGGGACACTTGAGCTCCCTTCTAGCATGGAAGTTAGATGGCAAGAGGAGGTGTTTCAAAGGACAGGAAGTGGTAGCTACCAGTCTGTTAAGTCCTGGTCTTGCAAGTTGGTACATCATCAGTCCTATCACATTCTGTTGGTCAAGCTCAGAGCCCTCCCAAATTTGAGAGAAGGGGATAGAGACCCTGCTCCTTGACATGAAAAGTGTTAAGGAGTCTGTGGCCATCTTTCAGTTACTATGCCTGTTATTGAGTCAGTTATGCTCTTCAGCCTTCTTATTTGGGGTCCGAAAAGATCTCTGGTTGAATGGCAAGTGATGCTGCCTTCTATCCACAAGCTGTTAAAGACTTTGAATATGGATCAGGAGTGATAATCTTTATGAGTAGAAGCAGGACCATCTTTGGAAAAAATGTTGCCATGGCATTCTCTGTCTTTCCCTGGACTCATGTGAGGTTTGAGGTTCCTATGTGAGGGAAAAAAAAAAAAAAAACAGGACAAAAAGTCTAATATTGTGGGATCAAGAGTCATAAGACTAGGCTGGGGATGTGGCTCAAGCAGTAGCACGTTCACCTGGCATGCGTGCGGCCTGGGTTCGATCCTCAGCACCACATACCAACAAAGATGTTGTGTCCACTGAAAACTAAAAAATAAATATTAAAAAATTCTCTCTCTTTAAAAAAAAAAAAAAAGTCATAAGACCAGGAGCCAGGAAACTTTCTGTAAAGGGCTAGATTTAAAATATTTTAGGCATTGCTGGCCACATGTAATCTCTATTGTTGCTATATCGTACCATTATTTTTGAAGTCCATGGTAGGTCAGCAAGGCTGCATCCTCTCCTGAAGTTCTCAAGGGAAATTTGTTCCTATTCCTTCTAGATGCAGCCCACATTCCTTATCTCTTGAACCCTTCTTCCAGCAACAAATTATCTCTCTGACCCTGTTTCAGGCATAACAACTCTTTCTGTCTTTTGTCTTTCTATTCTATTTTTAAGGACCCTTGTGATTACATCAGACCCATTTAAATAATCCAGTATAATCTCCCTATTTTAAAATCAGCTTGTTAGCATCCTTAATTCCATCTGCAAATATGCAAGTTCCTTTGTCAGGTAATCAAACATATTCAGAGGATTAGGGCATAGATTTCTTGTGGTGGGGGAGGCAGTCATTACTCTATCACACCATTTGTAGCTCATGGACCATACAAAAATAGGCTGTGTGCTATATTTTGTGAACCACTGAGCTATATAATACTTGATTTCCAAATTAAGTTCATCCTTCAGTTTATGTAATATTCCACTGTTATGTTAACCCCTTAGAACCCAAAACAGAAGGAAATGCACATTGAATTATTTCTGTCTCTTTAATCCTGAGTGTACTAATAATAGCCATAGCGGAGAGCATGCAAGAACAAGATCGGATGTTATCAAAACTTATTTTCAGAAATATCAACTTAAACATCTTCATTTTTGTCTTCTGATTATTCTCTTTGAAGTTGTATATAAGCTTCTGTTTGTTTGAATAGACTACAAATGTTGATTTGTTTTTAAATTGTCATTATTTGTAATTGGCTCTTCTAATAAAGTAATTTTATTGAGTACAATTGGCTTCTGATAGCAAGAGAAGAGAGAAGGATAATCATGTGTCTCACTTATAAATTCATTGTATTTGATTTTTGGATGAATTTGCTTATATCTAGTTCTGCTATAATATGACATATGGGTTTCTAAAAATTACCATGCTATGAATCATGCAATCAAAAGCCACAGGACTTATGAGAAAAAATGAGGATGGGCATAACATTCAAAAACTTCTTTGATGACACTTGAAAAAATGGTAATGTAATATGAACAATAAACCACTTTTACAGGTATTACATATTTTAAAAATATATAAATGCTACAAGAAACATGGCACTTCCTCATGAAAAATACCTTCCCTTTGTTGGTCTCAGATGGTTACAGCTTTTGAGTTATTAGGAAATGGTAGAAGGAGGCAAGTTGGGACACCAGATGGGGATAAATGTGGCTCATTGCCCTTTTGAGTTATATGCTTGTATATGCTTAAAGGATTTCTCAGGGACTCCATTCAGCTGGGCTTAGTGCCGTTTTCTGCATTCTATCTCAAGATAAGAGGTTGTGCATAGTAAGCAAATAGAAAATTCACATTATGCTCAAATTGTTCCAAATATGTCAATTATTGGAACAAATTTGCCTGCTCAAAACAAGCACTAATAACAATATATGTTCTTGATTCTTACACAGTGCTCTGTGAATGAACTACCAAAGCACATGAAGCTACTTTGCTTTTCTTTCCACAGAGGGCACAGACCAGGGATGGGCTGACTCTCATGTTGAATACTCAGAATTCTATACCAGCAATTTCAGAAATTTTCAGACATGCAATTTAAAAATTTAGCTCCTATTTACTGTTCCTAAAGAAACTGGTGGAGGATACATACCAACAAGCCAAACAAGGAAGTACACCATAAAAGAGGATACAGAAAGTGGGTATTTGAGTGCAGGACAGAGGCAAAGAGAATCCCCAGACAACTGTAGGGCACAGACAGGAAGATAAGTCAGGTCATCCAGCTCTAGAAGGAACATACGCAGGATGATGAAATGTAGATGGGACTTGAAACATTTGACATTGGGAGACTGAAATTGTTAGTGAAGTGTTCAGAATATAATCTGAATTCAGTATTTACAAAAAGTAGTAGAAGAAAGATAAGATCATTACCTATAGGGAAAATAGAACAAAACAGAAGTTGTACATGGCAGGAGAATATGAATGTTGTTAAGTTTACTACATGGCTCAGCTCTGAAGAACATTTATACAGTTCAATTGAAGTGGTCAGTTTTGAGTTTGAATATTGATCTTTATTGGGACGATGATGTTTTGGGAAGGATTGTACCCATGTGATGGGACAGAGAATACATTAGAATTAAATCCTCATCTTCCATAGCAAGAAGTCAATCATAATCAAGACATAGCAAGACTCACATATTAGCCAGAGATTTGGTAAGTATGTCGAAATTGGTTGCTTCCAGGCTATTTATCCATTATCAATCTTACACAACAATGTGAATTTTAAAAGTTATTTTTATATATAACTTTAATAAAAATAGAAAACTTAAAACTAAATATAGTATTCTGCAGAGAAGTGTTATCACACTAGGTCTGGAAACTTAAAAGGCCTGCTTACAAAGTTGGCCCTCAGTTGGCAGCTAGGAACTTAGATTTTGCGAAGCTTCCCACTGTTCCTTGATAAGAAAGGCTCACTAAGCTGTTAACAACTGGCAAACAATGCAGCTGATGCTGAATGCCTAGAGTCTGGCATTTTGATTTGCACTAGGCAATGGGTCCCTTCGTGACCATCCCCCAGTAAACTCCTGGGCCTTGAGTCTCTAAGGTGGTACCATGCTAGACAACACTTTGTACATGTTGTACCCACTTGCTACTAAAGACCTTAAACTCACTTTCTGTGATTCGTCTCTAGGAGAACACTTGGAATCTCACCCCATTTCCTCCAACTTCATTTCATGAACTTTGCCCATTTACTGATCTTGTTCTGTGTCCTTTCCCTATAATAAATCAGAGGGAATGAATGTGACTGTATGCTGAGTCTTGTGATTTGGCCTGGTGTATCATTGAACTTGGAGGTAGTCTCAGAGACCTCTGAGATACAGATATACTTTACTATTAATCAATGGCATTTTTCTTTCCCTAGCGTCGAGATTGGTGAAAGTGTGAGAGGGGAAGATGTCTATATCATCCAGAGTGGCTGTGGAGAAATCAATGACAACCTGATGGAACTGCTCATCATGATCAATGCCTGCAAGATTGCCTCATCATCCAGGGTGACTGCAGTGATCCCATGTTTTCCATATGCCCGACAAGATAAAAAGGACAAGGTAGGAGAGGTGTCTCCTACCCTTGAAACCTGTTCTAGGTCACCATTGTTTCCTCACATGTGGCCTTGATTGGAATGTCTGGAAAATGTTGGCTTTCTCTTTTAATGATAATGTAAATACATATCCTCACTTATTTTTCAGATTTGCCTTTGAACTCATCGTAATGTTACTATTTATAGATACCAAAACAGGTAAAGCATGTTTTGCAGATATTAAAATACCATTATTTTCCTTATGATAGAATCATTGTGTCTCTGTGGTGGACAGAACTGAATATGCACACATGCACACACACATAAAAACACACACAACTCAGGGAATCCAAGTCAAACAGGAATACCCAAATCAGATCACCGGATTGTATCAATTTCAGGGTCCTGGTTGTAATGTTGTGCTGTATTTTTGGAAAATATTATTTTGGAAAGACTCTGGTAAAGGTCTCTAGGATTCGTGCATTACTCCTTACAACTGCATGTAAATTTATAGTTCTCCCCAAATAAAAAGTTTAATTAGAAAAATACTGTTGTCCCCTTCTAGTCTTTCAAGAAGAACAGAGTTAATATTGGTTAATTATTCTTTTAGCAACATTAGCATTGGAGGAGGCACTGTAAGTCTCTAGGAGAATTTGAAGAAAATACTCTTGGTCTTATCCTTCAAGATATATCTGGGATGGAGTTTATGGGGAACTTTGAGATTACATTCATTTGCTAGGACTTCCTTAACAAATTAGCATGAACAGAGTGGCTTAAAAGAGCAGGAATTTATTCACCTACAGGTCTGGAGACCCCAAATCTGAAATCCAGAAACTGGAAAGAGTCATGGAAGCCTCTTGTGTTCCTTGTTGCCTTGGGCTTGTGGCAGCATCTCTCCAATCTCTGACTCTGTCTTCACATAGCTTCTTCCCCATGTCTCTGTATGTCCTTTTGTCTCTAGCAAGGATATTGTCATTGGATTTTGGATCTACCTTAATCCAGAATGATCTCATCTTGAATTTTTACCTTGGTTACATCTGCAAAGACCCTATTTCCAAAATGAGGTCACATTCTGAAGTTGTGGGTAGATGTGAATTTTTCAGGGATACCATTTGACCCACTACAGGGATCAACTCTAAACTATTGTTTCATTTCCAAAACAACAAAATTTGTGAAAACAGCACTTAAGATCCCTGCAGATTTGAAAAAAAAAAAAACTATATAAGTCTGAATTCATATACCAAGGTCTTCCTGAATTTTAATCCCTACCTCCATAATTATAACTCTGGTCCTTCTATTGAACATGGCTCATCAGTAAATTTCTTGCTAAAACTTTGATATCCAGAACTCCATTCAGTACTTCAGATGATTTACCTTATTTAGATTAGAAGGGCCAGTCTACTTTTCTATAAACGAAACCTGTTGCAGCTGCTGAACTCTGTGCCTCAAAAGCAATAGCAGACAATAAATAAATGAATAGATGTGGCTGTTCCAATAAAACTTTATTTGTAGACACTGAAATGTGAATTTCACATCATTTTCACATGTTATAAAATACTATTCTTTTGATTTTTTTCAACCACGTAAACGTATAAAAATTATTTGCTCACAAACAACAGAGTAGTTAGTATAAGCAGTATCAAAACAAATGGCTGGCTAGATTTGGCCCATGAGCCAGTTTGCCAACCCCTGCAATAGATTACTGATTACTTTTCTTAATCAGTTTTGCATTGCTATAACAAAATATCTGAGACTGGGTAGCTTATAAAGTAAAGGTGTTTATTTGACTCATAATTCTGATAACTCAAAAGGTTCAAACAGCATGGCCACTGGCATCCTGGTGAGGTTCTTCCTGTCTGTGTCACAACATGGAGAAGGGGAAAGGGAACTAGCCACATGCAAAAGGAGCACGTGTGTGAGCAAGGAACAAGAAAGTAGGGAAGGGCCAGGCCCATTCTTTTTATAATAACCCACTCTTGCAGGAACTAACCCACTCCAAGAAATCCACATCAATCCCTTCTCCTGACTTAACCATCCTCTGCTAGGCCTTAACTCTTCACCAAAACTTTAGGTCACACATGCTTCTGTGAAGCCATGTCCTCCCACTGGTTATTTATATAGTTTCTTTTATTTTAAACTGGATTCTGAAATTATATGTGTTAGTTTAGCTGCTAAATTTCAATTTTTAAATTTCATCCCATCAGTATGGTGTGAGCGCTTCCACCCATCTTTGTGTTATGATAGGATAGTTTAATATCTTTATCCTTGTCCATGTAATTTTCTGCCACTTTTTCTATTCCCTGTGACAAGAGATTTGGGAAATTGTCATCTCATTTAGCTATTTTAATGAAGTCCTTCTATTTCCAGTAAGTTCTACATCCTGTATTTGGCTGAAATATTTGATACATTGTCTCTTAACTCAGTAAATTATTTCTTTTATCATGACAAGGTCTCCATCCCACTGTTTAAAAATTGGAAACATGAAGTTCCTCTTTGATACCAATATTGAGATTCCTACATTTTTTTTGTAAGCACGTATCTGACTTGAAGTAGCCTCTTTTTTTCAAAGTTGTATTTTTCACAATTTGTATCTTATTTTTATTCATAGTGAAGTCTTTGCAATAGAGAAACTAGCCATCCATTCTCTGTCCCTTTAAGTGCATGAAATGGCAGCTCCAATTGCTTGTACTGCTCCCAGCCACTATGCCAAAAAGAAGAGCCCTACAGCTTTCCAATAACCAGTGGACCTGTTTTGTAGAACAGCTGCATTATCTGACCAGCTTTTTACCAGTTTTCCTGTTGTTGGATATTTAGATGTGTTTTCCACTTGGGGCCATTTGAACACATTTCTTTCTGAATTTAACTGCTGAAAGAGATGAGACTTGGATCATCCATCCAGGGAACTATGGATATTGAAAGGGGGTACTATGAGTAAGTATGCCAGAAAAGAAGTGCCCACCCACACGGCCCTAAGCAAGACTGATACATAGCCACTCTCTGTATAGGTCTTTATTCTCTGAACTGAACTTGCAGGTGGCCAAGACACATAAATTGTTCTGGCTTCATTATTTCTGACACATCTATATAGTCCATGTGACTCATCTTATAGGAAGGAGACAATTTCATTCTTTCTTCAGACTTGTTGAAAGGAGAATTCTTGATTTCATCTATCACTTGAGGTATTTTTGAAGTTTCTGACAGTTTTTCTAACTGTTTACTTCTTCCCTTGGATTGAGCAGCTTGGTTTTTGTACAGGGAAACTGCCTAGAGTAGGGCAACCAGAATTTAGTTAGCACTTTGGAGAAATAGTCAGAGCCTGTTAGTGTATACTTTACTTCTTGGCAAAGTGCTTACATTTACCAGTGTGGACAAACTGAAAGGAGACCAGGTATGATTTGGAGTGAGGGTGCACTTCTACCTTTTTGCTTCACTTAGGTAGGTGGAAGGCCATGTGGTATTTCTATGAATGTCATAGAAAGCCAAGGGCTACGCTTGATCTTGGACATAGACAGAAAATTGTCCTCCTTGGCAACAGATAAAGCTCTGGGCAGACCTTCCAGGCTTTCTGTTTCCCTTTTCCCTTCCTTTGGGACTCTATTACCTATGACAACTGATGACACACTGAAATTCTGTGTAATTTCTCTACTTAGAAATACCTGCAAAGAAGCTCAGAAAAATCTAGACCCTTTAATCATCTTCAAAGCTTGTTTATTTTTCTTTTTATTATACGCTTCTTTTTAAGAAAGTCCTGCAAATATGTAAGGTTTTATTTTGCCTTTTATTTGTATGTACAAGAACCCAGGGGCAGGTTCTGACAATGAAGGAATGGTTTTATGATACATCGCAATGTAATATTTACAAGGAAAAGTGATTATATAATATTAATTGTACAAGATGTGGTGCAAAGTGGTCTGAGATTTGGGTTGTACCTTGGGAATGAAGTGGACTCAGATTTATTTACTCAGTTTGTCCTTTGTAAAAGGTATTTAAACTATGTATCCTTAGTTTCCTCATCTGTAGATTGAGGATAGTATTAGCTAGTATTGATAAAGCACCTACAATACAATATAGGAGTGAGCAGACTTCCTCTGAAAAGAAACCTGTGTCAAATATTTTAGGCTTCATAGACTATTGGGTCTCTGTTATAACAGCTCAACTTTTGCCATGTTAATGTGAATGCAGCCATAGCCAATGTGTAAACAAATAGGCATATCTCTTTATGCACAATGAGATAGGAATTTTATAAAATCTTCAAATGTCTCAAAATATTGTTCTTCCTTTTTTTCATAACCATTTATAAATGAAAAAAGAAATCCTTAGCTCTCAGGCTGTATAAAAACAGGCTATAGGTGGGATTAGCCTATGAGCATAGTTTGCTGTCTCCTGCCGTAGTAGACATTCCATAATTGCTAGTTCCCTTCACTAGTGAAAACCATAGATTGTGGGTAAGGCAGGGAATAATTACTTTCTGAAGTAGGTGAAGGACTTTCAGCTTGGAATTTTTTTTTCTGTTTTCAAAATCACTTTTTAAAGTCTTGTTTTTATTTTAATTATAAAATATTATTTTTTATTTTTTAATGATATGAATCTCTACAATCTTGTAATTTCCTTAAAACTTTGTCAGATTTCCCTCAAAGCAGGGTTGCATTTGATGCTACAATTTAAAATTCTGAGAATACTTGACTGACTTGAAAAATGTTTCACCTGTATACATTTTACATTAGAGGGACTAAAATTTTAATTTTTGTCTACTGTGCCTTTACTCTATTTTGTTTAAATGCTATACTAATTTTTTCTCTGTATAGGCTATAAAGTTAGTTAACTTGTTAATCACTCTTTCTGCATGATTTGGTTGGGTATCAAACCAAACTATGAAACACAATACAAAACCAGATTTGTAAACAAGGGCTGAAGAAGGAAATCAGAACATATGAGTTTAGAAGTTACCCCTATGGTTTGGATTCCAAAAGTAAGAAATGCTTGATGCCACTGAGGGGAGAGAAGATCCTTTTTGCTGGTGTCTTATTCTATTTGTGCTGCTATAATAAAACACCAGAGACTGGTAAATTTTATTTATTTATTTATTTATTTTGGTACCAGGGATTGAACTCCGGAACACTTAACCACTTAGCCACATCCCCAGCCCCAACTCCTTTTTTGAGACAGGGCCTCACTAAGTTGCTTTCAGGTCTTGCTAAGTTACTGAGGCTGGCATTGACCTTGCAGTCCTGTTACTCAGCCTCCTGGGCCACTGGGTTTACATGCGTGCACTACCACACCTGGAAGGCTAGGTAATTTATAAAGAACAGAAATTTATTTTCTCACAGTTCAAGGACCTAGAAGTCCAAGGCACTGCTGTTTGGTTTCTGGTGAGGATCCTATCCTCCAAAGGGAGGAATTCTTTGTCTTTATAGGGTGGAAGACAGAAGGGCAAGCTCCCATGATGCAACTGGAAACTTCTTTTATCAGGGCATTAATCACATTAAAAAGGGTAGAATGGAGCCCTCATGGTCTCTAAAAGGATCTTCTGCTTAATGTTATCATGTTAGCAATAGTTAGCAATACCTGAATTTCAGAGGGACACTTTCAGTCCAGAGCAGCTGCTTATAAATGGAAGAAGAGTCCCAAATTGATAGCATTGTGAATCAGATTTTATTACAAAGAAGTCACAGTGACCAATTTGTTCTTTTTATTATCCTGGCAAGGTGGAACATAGCATACAAGAGTTAAATAATGAAAATATGAATTGTGATTAGTTAGTAGGAAAGATTGAAAAGCTTTTAATAAAGAAAAAATTTCTCCATTTTCTCCACAGTTTTTTTAAAAAAAAATCTACTGCTAACATTTTGGGATGTTTCAGTCTTTTCTTTATATTTTAAGTTTATACACAAACATATATATGTATATATATATATATATATAAAACAAAATATTATACACATTTCCTTTTTAGAATCAGAATGGTGTTAGAGAAAATAAAAATATTTTGTTAACCTTTTGATATAATTCTTTCCTCTGTGTTTTTACATGAATATACTGTGTATGTGTGTGTGTTTAACAGGATCATTTATCTGTTATTATTTTGAATGAAATCTTTTTTAAACTTCTATTTTCTTTTTTATAGCTAGTATTATACAGAAATACCATTGTTCACAGCAAATTGCTGAACTCTTCTTCAATCATATCTGTATAGTTTCTTGAGTTTTTTTTTAATGTGGACAGTTTTATTGTCCATAATTTATAATGTGAAAACTAAAGCTATAAAGAAGTTTTTTGAAAAAGACATAATGTCAGTGTGTCTATTTCTCTAAATATTAAATTATCAATCACCATAAAGTGTTCTTTCTTTCCCCTGGTTTTTGTTTAATTTGTAACAGCAGTAGTTTGCAGCTGTCAGTACATGAATGCCTCTTTAATAACTGGGCTTCTTTCAGTCCCTGGCTGTGTGAAGCTCTTTGGCTTCAGCATCTCACACATACCATTGTATCCTTCTAGAACACTGTTCTCCCTGCCTTTGTCACCTTGTCTTAAGAGCAATTTCCTCTAACACCTACCCTATTTAAACTTTCTGTCCTTTCTGCTATCGTCTCTCATTCTGTGCCTTTTATTTTAGGTCTAGTCACTTCTTACAATTTGAATAATACAAATTGTGACATTATACATATAGTATATAGACGTATCTGTTTGCTTCTTTGACATTTGTTTTCTATACCCAGTGTTAAGCACGTTGTTTCACAGTGATTTATGTAAATATTAAATAGTCAGTGAACAAAATGGTATGGATAGATGTTTTGCTGTCACAACTTGTGTAATTTTCCTTATTGTGCCTTTGTTGATTTTTCTCCATTTTTTTTCTGCTATCAAATCCATGTCTTTTTTTTTTTTTTTGGCAGTGCTAGGGCTTGAACCCAGGGCCTTACACAGGCTAGGCAAGCACTCTACCACTGAGCTACATCCCTAGTCCTATGTCTTTCTTTTTTAGAGTCGTGCTCCAATTTCTGCAAAACTTGTGGCTAACATGCTCTCAGTTGCTGGGGCTGATCACATCATCACCATGGATCTGCATGCCTCTCAGATACAGGTACCAAAATTTTCTTTCTGCCAAGGGTTTTATCTTAACACTCTGTTAAATTAAATAATTTTAGGAGGCAACATTATTCATGTTTGAATTTGTGTATGGCTACTCTATGGATTTTTTTACCTTTTTTGAACCTAGAAATGTAATTTGATGTTGATATCTCCTGAATGTATCACCACCTTGGCTCTAGTTATGTTTTGAGGAGTGGAGATGGTGTCTTGGAGTATATACTACATAATTCCACCTCACCTTTGAGAAATGATTGGAATGGCAGAATCATAATGTGCATTTTAATCTCTACATTACTTAGTTTCTTCATCCTGAAAACAGACCACATTATACCATGCCCACTTTACAATATATAATGAATATAAAGTATTTGGTTTGTAATAGGTGCTAAAACAAAAGAAACCTCCCCACCTCCACCACTGCCCTACAAAAAGGATAGGCCATCCTAAGTGATTTATCATGTCTTGAAGGTGGGTTGGATTGAAACATGCCCTGCAACATATCTATATTGATTTGATTCTGTTAACAAAAGTGAATCTATTATAATGATTTCTTTGGAATTAAAAATTTAAATGTTGGGCTGGGGATGTGGCTCAATCAGTAGCACGATCGCCTGGCATGCGTGCGGCCCGGGTTCGATCCTCAGCACCACATACAAAGATGTTGTGTCCGCCAATAACTAAAAAATAAATAAAATAAAAATATTAAAATCCTGTCTCTCTCTTTAAAAAAATAAATAAATAAAAATAAAAATTCAAATGTTATTCAATAAAGACAATTAGTTGTTTAAAAAATAAATAAATAAAAAATAAAGGTGACACTCATTTTTCCCCTTAGGGATTCTTTGATATTCCTGTGGATAACTTATACGCAGAGCCTGCAGTTCTGCAGTGGATTCGGGAGAATATCACAGAGTGGAAGAACTGTATCATTGTTTCACCGGATGCAGGGGGAGCCAAGAGGTAACTCACAGGCAGAGCCATGCAGATTTCTCATTTTTGCGAATTGCTTTTTCCTTTCTATATTTCTCTATGTCCCCCTGCCCCTGAACCTTGCTGGGGATCAGAACATAGGCTAGGCAAGTACTTTATCACTGAGCTACACCCCAGTCCCAGGAATCATGCTTTAAATTATTTATCACTTTATTTTTCAAATGAGAATAAGAACACCACAGACTTCACTTTCAGAGCAGAAATTTATCCTCTTTGACAACATTTCATCATGAAAATTTTTTAAAAGGCACATACGATATGTATATATTTATTTGTTTTCAGCAAAAATGGATGTATTTTGTTTTTTGAAGTTATTTTCTGATTATAAAAATAATGCTCTTAATTGAGAAATAAGGCTTTTAATGAACATCACCATTGATGGAACTACCTTGGAAATGGTAGCCTAAGTTGAAAAAAATTTTTAAGAAGACCAAGAAACCTGAGGCCCAGAAATAAAGAAGATGCTGACACTGCATTTCTGGTGCTGGAAGGGGAAGAGGCAGGCTGGCGGCCTGGCTATGAAAACTCATGTTTGGACCTCCATAAAGAAAGGAGCTAGAAGCCAGAACTCTAGCTAGCAATCTGAGCCTTTTAATGGAAGCAGAAAATAGTCCCCCATTAGGAATCAAACCATAAGCCTATGCCACAGGCAAATGTACAGTGGAATATCCACTCTACCTGAGGTGCAGAAATCCCTATACTAAAAAAGTTAACCCTGAATATAGGCCTCAAGCTGCAGAACTACTGCAGAGGAAGACTCCCAGTTGCTCAATGAGCACTCCCAACTGAATGTGAACGTGACCAGATGGATGCTTGATGATCCAAAGTCAGCAATCCAAGAACACATGATTCTCCCAGACCCATTGTATGCAGACAATAGGGCGGCAGGCAGCCAGTAATGTGGGGTGATAAAACAATTACAATGCTATCAAGTGAGCAAGTTTCAAAGAAAAGTAAGGAGAAAGAAGAGATAAAATCCAATGTGGTACTAAAAACGCCCAGTAGAGAAAGTGATGCTGAGTAACAAATCTGAAGGGGTTTTAAAGGAGACTCAAGGAGGTAGTGAGCCATGAGGACACAGGGTGTTAAGAATCAAGGCCCAGAACAATAAGTGAATGCTGATCTGATATAGTGTTGAGACTGGGGAGTAGCCTTGTAGAACTTTGCAGCAGCTATTTAGGAAGAAAAAGACAGTGGAATGTGGGAAGAAAAATAGAAGTGGAATAGAGTTATATTGCCCATTTAGGGGCCACCATAAGGTAAGGAGGTAGGAGACACTTCTACCTACCAGCCCAGTGCAAAAGTAAGGAGGCAAATAGGTATGTGTGACTAGTGCCGAGTGGGCATCAAGTCACAGGAGGACTTTAAAATGCAGGGGCTGGGGATATAGGATGCTTGCCTAGCATGCACGAGGCCCTTTCAAGCCCCAAAACCAAAAAAAAAAAAAAAAAAGCAAAACAAAAGACTGGCCCTCATTTGGCACCCTCATCCACCTGCAGCCCATCTGGGGACCTAGAATCACACTTAAAAGCTTAGGAATGGCCCAGGAAGTGGTCACAACACCCATGTGAGGAAATGTAAGACCTGATTCTCAGAAGAGCCCCATTTGTTCTGCTCTCAGCTATCTGTCCAACGGCTGCCTAAGTTCCCAGCTCTGAAGAGGAGGAAGAAATGGGCCATACAGCTGGAGATGGGCCTCTGACAGCTGCAGGAAGTGGCTGTGGAGAGGAAGGAGACACAAATATATAAATGATAGCACAGAGAATTAGTTTGCAAAGCCCTCAGAGGGACAGCAATGGTGTGGAAAGCAGCACCGTGTTATGTGGCTTGTTACAGTACATGATGGGCACACATATGCCTTCATCGATCTCATCAGAGTTAAATAAAAATGTGAGCAACTTTTCAGAGTCATTTCTACTGAAAATGCTTGCAGTTTTCATGGAAACTTACTTAAGTCACATGATGGAATCTGTGTTCAAATATTGCTGATCTACTGGTTTGGGGTGAGGAAGTAGGCCAAGGGGTCCAGGTGCCTAAGTTGTCCTTGGTTTATAATAACAGCTGTATTAAATTGTAATTCAAATATCTACAGTTATTCCATATACAGTTGAGTGCTGTTAATATAGTCAGATTTGTGCAAACATCGCCACTATCTAATTCTGGAACATTTTCCTTGCACCAAAAGTAAACCTTATATCCATTAGCAGATGCTCCTCCCCTGAGCCCCTGGCTACCACTAATCCCCTTTCTGTCTCTATGGAACTATGTCTTCAGTTTTCGTATCAATTGATCATAAAATATATGACCTTTGTGTTTGGTATATTTCTTTTTTTAACCCGAAAATGTAACTTTGATGGCTACTAAGCCCAAATAGATTCCAAAGATTTATATTGCCTTTTTCTTTCCTGTCTCATCCCTATTTTTATACATATGGTAAAAAAAAATACAATTGCTATGAGTAAAACTTGAAACAGTACAAAAGGTGACACCTCTCTTCTTTAAGCACCACTATTCTTTCCAATGTCAAAATGATGTTATTCAAACATATATTCCCCCTATTTCTTATAAACAAATGTCAATGTGCTATATATACTTCGTCACTGTGCTTTAAAAAAAAAATACTTGCTATAGTTTAGCGATAGTTCCAGAGTTGTATAAAAGGTCTGCTTGACTGCTTTTTCTTTTACAGCTGTGTAATGTTCCCTTATGTGCATACATTATAATTCCTGTGGCCAGTCCCCTGTTACCCACTTGTAGATGCTATAATTTGGACACTCCTTAAGCATTACTCTTTCTTTACCATTTAGTGCATGGGTACAGGTGGGATACATTCCTAAAAGTGGAATTGCCAAATCAGAGAGTACCAGCCTTTGTAGTGTTGATGTACAGTGCCATAATGTGGTCATTCAAAACAGACTCAGAGGCATTCCATCAAGTACAGATGCCAGTAACTTTTTCAAGCCTTGCTCACACAGTAGATTATCAGACAGTTTTACTTGACGAATCTGGTGAGCAGGGTTTGCTGTCTCCTGGTGATGGAAAATGCTCTTTGTGGCATGGCAGATTCCTGAGTGACAGACCTTTTGCCTGTGGCTTTATGGCTGGAGATCTTGCCTATGGATTGTCAAGAGTTCTGCATGGATATGAGATCACAGCTTTGTTTCTTTTGTGTGTTGCAAATATTTCCCCAAGTTTTTCCATTTCTTTCCTCTTTTTAATTTTTATTCTCTGTGGGACATTTAAAATCTTCCTATTCACTCATATTTATCTTTTCTTCATATTATGGCTTCTGGGTTTATAAAGCATTTGCCCTTCTCTTACAAATTTTTCTTCTATGATTTTGTATGTTTGGGGGGCTCCCTTTTTTATTTTTGGCACTAGGTATTTGACCCGAGGGCACTTCACCATGGAGCCACACCCCCAGCCCTTTTAATTTTTATTTTAAGACAGAGTCTTGCCAAGCTGATTAGAGTCTAGCCAAATTGCTAAGGCTGATCTTGAACTTGCAATCTTCCTGTCTCAGCCTCTCGAGTGGCTGGCATTATAGGCATGTGCCACCATACCCAGGCCCTTTTTCTTTTTTAATGTTGCAGTTTTTTATCTGAAATTTATTTTGGAAAAATAAAAGAATGAAATTAGAACTCAACTCTTTCACACCCCCCATTCCCTAGAAAATAAAAGAATGAAATTAGAACTCAACTCTTTCACACACTCCATTCCTACCAACTGTATAGTTGTTCCAAAACTATTTATTACATAACCCATCTTTTCCTATTGTTTTGAAATGTAATGTTTTTTATATACTAAGTCCCCTCTGTCTGTTTGCTAACTCCTAAATACAGAATAGACTAACCAGAGGAAATGGCCAGGTTTGAGATTCCATTTTGTTCAGATCCCTTCAAATAGCCCCATTCATCCACCCCTCTCTCTGTCCCAGGAGAAGCCAGTGTAGGAATTTTTGCCACCTCCTTTCCCTTTTCCCCAAAGTGACAGCTATATTTCATTGTGTCTTCCTCATGTTCTAGAATGAACTGTTCTCCTACTGACAGTCCCCCCAGAACAACCTTTCAGGTAACAAGTAATCCATGCAGTAGTCATTATCTCTGATTTCTTTGCATAATGTAAAAAGCATATTTCCCTAGAGAAAATATATCTATATGTCCAATTGGAGCTTGTTGCTTTGGAAAAAGCTTTGAGGCCCAACTCTTTCTAGGTAAAGCTTAGTATTGCCACAGGAGGTCACTCTTGAGTAGTCTTTGAAGCTTGATTGGGTTGAAGAAACAGACCCACCCCTATTGACATAGTAAATATCAACCTGAAAGTGACAAGGGAAGTGAGAGAAACTAAATTCATATTCGACTTGTTTCTGATTATGTAATCTTTGAACATTTTCTATAAAAATTTTTGAAAAATTAGAAGAAAACTTTGACTACCTCCCATCTATCAATGATAATATGTTGAACAATTTGGTGTTATCATGTATCTGTCCCTCCTTGGCCTGTCCCCTGACATTGGTACACACACACACACACACACACACACACACACACACACACACGAAAGAATGTAAAAATTGCCAAATAACAAACCAAAATCTAAGAATATGATATTTTTGTTCTAGTTCTACCCACCTAAGATTTCAACATGACATGTTGTCTTAACCTCATTTTAGGAATATGTATTGTGTATCCATCATATACCCAGGAAAGAAAAGTTATCTGTAGCTTTTTCAGGAAATAGTGTTATAGTAACCCAGAGGGCTTTTTGCAGGGATGCTTTCATTTTATCTTCTACCTTTGACATCACTACTGGGTACCTGATGTTGCTGGAGCTCTTCACCTAGATCTAGATGTCCCATGTCCCCCACTACCAAGAACCCCATAGTTCAACTTCTGTCTGAGACAGGCCTCCGTGCCTTCCAACTGTATAGTTGTTCCAAAACTATTTATTACATAACCCAGCCTGTAAACAAGCTGATGAGGACAGGAGTCTCCTGGCAGACAGGGGAAAGCAAGTTGTGCCTGGTCTTTGCAGACTTAGAACTTCAGCCACAAGTGGCAGTGTTTCCCAAGCTGCTCTGTGGACCAGGACTGTTCCTGTTCCTTACCAAATAAACAGATAAATAAAAAATTAATGCAAATGTACATTTTGTGTAAGGTATTCAAGTATCCTTTCTTGAGGAAGCTTCTTTCATATTTTAAGAAACAAGCTTTCCTTAATTTGAGTTTAAATGACTTGTCTCTTGTAAAATTGGCATGTAGATCGGTAGTATATATTTGAAGGTGATTATGGGGTGAAGTTTTTGTCTACCTTCGAATTACATTTTTTTTCTTTCAGTGAAATCCTTAGGTAAAGAAACTATTGAAACTTTAGAAACTAAAGGTGCCTACTAGGGCTACTGTGATTTTGGTTCCTGCTTGAAAAAAAAATTTAAGGGGAGCAGAAACATTGACTTCATCTTAGTAATGCTTCCTTTTGCTTCTAAAGATATTTGAGAAATCTAAAATTAGTGTCTTTTCATGACAAACAGTCTGTTTTACTGGAAAGTTTGTTCCCTTTTCTGTTACATGATTACTAACATTTGGATTTATGACCACAATCTTATGCACTTTAAAGCTGTTGCCCAGTATAGCTTTTGTTTCTTCTCCACAAATTGGACATTATCATTGCAGTTTTACACAGTCAACATTTATTAAGAGCTGTTCACATATCAATCAATATATTTACTTGCTTTTGTTCCCTACCACATCTCTGTATAATTTTTCTTTTACTTAAATTGCAATCTTTAAGTCATATGTTAGAAATTAATTCTCAAGGTATATAATTCAACCGAAAATATCTTTAGGTCGTCCTTGTTCTAGAAAGACAGTTTTGTTGGGTATAGAATCCTAGTTTGACTTTCTTGGTAGAATTTGAGAATTTGGATGCCAGTTTGATTGTTATTCCTTTTTAGGTGACTGATCTTTATCCTTTGCCTTTTTGATTTCTTGATCTTCCATAGTTTCATATGACTGTTTGGGGATTCGTTGGTTGAGTTTGTTGGATCAGAGAACTAGTGTCTTCCAATAGTTCTGGGAAATTTTCAGTCATTGTCTTTAAATATTTTCACTTCTTTGTTCTTTTTTCTCTTTCTAGAACTCCATTTATTCATGTCACCTTGTTACTCTGCTGTTCATGTCTCTTAGCATCTTTTTCGTGTTTTTTCTCTTTTGTCTCTTCTACTGCATTCTGGACAATGACTTTATCTCCATCTTCCAATTCACACATTCTCATTTTGAATATTTTCCATCTATTTTCAGTTGTATTTTTAATTTCAATAAAATTTAAATATAATATTTCCCAAAATTCTCTTTATTCATTCTTTTCTTGATGGGATGTTATTTTTCATCCTTTTGTTCTTATCCAAGATTCTGTTTTATTTCTTTAAAACAATCGACTTATATTCCTTTTCAGCTAATTCCAGTATCTCATTCTTTGTTCTTATAATTAGGTGACACTTGTTTCTGGTGGCTCTCAATTTTGCTGATTTGGGTATTTTGGGCTCTGTTCTATAATCCCTCAATTTCCTTAGAATTTTATTATTGTAATCCTTCTGAGAGGGTGTGCATGTGTTGTCGCCAGCTCCCTTGGAGAACTACCCCCAATATTCACTTTTAATTAAACTCTCTACTTGAGGGTTTTCATCAGACACATAATAGGAATTTGGACAAGCAACCCTCACGAGAGCTAGAATGTGCTTTTGAACTCTCTAGTAAGAGATAACCTTCTCTACTCAGCATCGAGTTTGAGACAGGTAAGCATCCTTCCTGTTTCCAGGTGGGCAGCAGGTTTATTTTTTATTGTTTGTTACTCTGAAAGAAGAGCCTATGGTGTCCCTGTGTAATAGGAGGGTTTCTTGTTAGACCTACAGTCTTGGCTGAGCCCTAGGCTTATTCTCTCATCATCTGCCAGGTCCCTGCCAGCATAATGGAAGCTTAAGATTGTTAGGGTTTCTCAGAAGCCCTCAGAAGAAGCACTTTACTGCTTGCCAGCTTCTTAGAATCATTTACTTCTACATCATTTGCCTCTGCTGATGTCTGCTTCTGAGTTGGTGATGTATTTGTAAAGATAGTTTCCTTGGCTTACAGTATCATCTAGCATTGTTTCCACTTGGAAGGGTAATCAGGCTACCTAGTCTGACAGAGTACCACAATGCAACTCCAAAATGTCATCTGGAAGTAGAGATGTGTATGTATGGAATAAAGATGGCCTTCCCTGAGGTCTCATTTTCATATATGACCCTTGCTTACAATGGCAAATATCCTTGCTTTATAATGTAGAAAGAAAGTCTGAAGGTTTGAAAGAGGTTGCTGCATTCTCTGTTCACATTTAGAAAAGGTACCTTGAAACTGTTAAAATACTGACCAAATAAGTTATATACAGTTACATATGTTATGGCAATTCTACTCCCAGGTATATGCCCAAAAGACTCAGAGAAAGGAATTCAGTGTCCACAGCAACACTGTTCACCATAGCCAAATGGTAGAAATAACCCAGGTGTCCATCAGAAGATGAGTGGAGAAGCAAAATGGTTATATCCTTTCAATGGAATCTTACTCAGCCATAAAATCAGTACTGATATATGTTGTAACATGAATGAACCCTATAATGTTAAGAAAAACACCAGACAGAAAAGTACACATATAGTATATTCTATTTATATAAAAAGCCCAGACTAGGTAAATCTATAGAGACAGAAAGTGGGTTCTTAACAGAGAATTGCCCACTCTGCCCATGGAACACACATGGAGGTCCATTACCTGTTGCAGTCTGAAGATAATATGATGACTAGGACCAGTGCTTTAAAAATAATGTCTAGAGGTGTATACTCCATGCACTGCATCCTAAATTGGGTGAGTGGGCTATGAATTGGTCCCATGAATATTTTTCAGCTGAGTTGCCTAATGACTGTTATGTTAAAAACTGGAATAGGAAATTGAAGTGTTATACTATATCCATGGCATTGTTTTGAAATATGTTTCATCATTTAAGTCTAATCTTCATGGGCAAATCCAAAAATGTGCCATGCTCACCAACTATCCAGGCCTATGCCCTTCTCCTTCTCTTTCCAGCTCAGCTTTTCCTGAGCCAGTGACTTTGAAGCATTTGCCTTGAATGTACAGAGGGACTGGACTCATAGTTTACAAATCTTCTTAGGCCTTAAGTGAACAAAACTCATTCTCATAAGCCTACATATTACATGGATGTATTAACCAGTACTTTTGTCCCTGCTGTCTGCTCCACAAATGCAGCAAATGGTAGTTCCTATATAACCTGTTTTAAATTGTGCCTATGATTTAAAAAATGTACCCCCCATACTAACAAATTGAATATCAGTTTCTTATCCAGTAGTTTATCCAATGGTCAGGGTGCCCTGACCTTCATTACCAGCTGTCACAAAGGCAGAGGTTTGTTTCTCATCAGCATATTTCTCCCTGTGGATTGCTTATTGTGTACCTCAGAGTATGCTGGCTTAACCTGAGTCATTTCATTTTATTGACTGTAGTTTCTTGCCATGTTACTAAAATACAGTTTCAAAGAAAAGATTGTCTTTTTTTTCTTTTTTGTGTGCTGGGGATGGAACCCAGGGCGTCACACCTCCTAGGCAAGTGCTCTATCATTGAGCTACGTCCACTGAAGAATAAATTCCTAAATGGACTGTATTATCATGTTCCTTTGCATCTTTGCACAGGGTCACATCAATTGCAGACAGGTTGAATGTGGAATTTGCTTTGATTCACAAAGAGAGGAAGAAAGCAAATGAAGTGGATCGGATGGTTCTGGTGGGGGATGTGAAGGACCGCGTAGCCATCCTCGTGGATGACATGGCTGACACGTGTGGTACCATCTGCCATGCTGCTGATAAGTACGTGGGAGCAGTTTGGAAAGCATGAAGACATCTCCTTAAAAAAATCAGTTTTTAGAAATTGAGCCTGTTTTTCCTAACTATTGATGATGCTTTGTGGTGGAATTTTAGACCAAAGGACATTCTAGGCCCATTTGGTTTTATAGTTGTTGTTCGGTTTGTTTATTTGTTTGGTACTGGGGATTGAACACAGTGGCACTCTGTGCTGAGCTACAATCCCAGCCCTTTTTATTTTGTATTTTGTGATAGAGTCTCACTAAGTCACTAAGGCTGCTTACAGTCCTCCTGTCTCAGCCTCTAGAGTTGCTGAGAGTACAGGCATACACTACTATGACTGGCAAGGTCCATTTGTTTTTATTCTTTTTATGGTACAAAAGAAACCATGGACCTTTTTATTTTCCAGGTTGAGCTTTACGTGTATTTTTAAAAGGGTCAGAGAAGGTACTTCCCTGGAAACTGAGCACAGAAGAAAAGTGTTTTGTGGCTTCTTCAGTGCCTTGCTTCCTTCACTTTGCCTTTGCTCCAACTCCCATGACAGCATGGGTCTCCAGAGGCTGCAAACTTGCACAGTCCAGTGCAGAGACCTTGCCAGCCACTCACGGCTGTCAAGCACTTGTAGTGTGGCCACTCTGACTTGAGATGCACTGAGATAGCTCACTAAGTGTTTTGCTAACACATACCTTTAAAGATCCTAGTTTGGGCTAGTAAATGTGAGTGAAGTTTGTCACATCTTTTCCTTTATGTGACAAACATTTTGCTTTTAACACTGATACTAAGGCAGAATATCTCAAAACTATTTGTATATACTTAACTTTTATCTTCCATTTTACAGACTGCTCTCAGCTGGGGCCACTAAAGTTTATGCTATCCTTACTCATGGGATATTCTCTGGGCCAGCTATATCCAGAATCAATAATGCTTCCTTTGAGGCTGTTGTTGTCACAAACACAATTCCGCAAGAGGACAAGATGAAACACTGCTCCAAGATTCAGGTACTATCCCACAGGCAGAACCAAGCAATGAGGCACCTGCTTTAGATTCCTAAAAATTACACCCAGTCTTCTCTGTGTGACTGCTTGCTAGTGCAGGTGCTCACTGATATTGCAGCTTCTCAGCACAGCAGGGTTTCAGTCACCTTAGATCTCTGAGAAAGGCCAGGGTCAGCAGAGATCAATTCCACTATTTAGAAATAGCAAATAAATAAAATCACAATAGAAAAACAGGCTGTGCTGAAGTTATGTACCAAAGAGTTCCACCCCTAGGTATATCCCCCAAATTTGGGAACATGTTCAAATAAAAACTCGCATATGAATAATCATAGGAGCACTATTCACAATAGCCAAAAGGTGGAAACACCCAAATGTCCATCAGTAGATACAGAGAAAGCCAAAGTGTGGTCTAGTGCTATAACGGAATATTATTTAGATCTAGAAGGAAGGAAATTCTGACATATCTTATGTCATGGATGAATCTCGAAAACATGTCAACTGAAATAAGCCTGTTACCAAAGCAGGAATATTGTATGTTTCTGCTTATATGAGGTACCTACAATAGGAATATGGTTAGAGACAGAAAGTGGAATGGTGGTTGCCAGAAAGTGGAGGAGGGCAGCTGGGGAGTTAGCATTTAATGGGTACACAGGGGTGTTTTTCTGTTATTTGTTTGTTTATTTCTTTGTTTTTGTTTGTCTGGTTGGCTTTTGGTACCAGGGATTGAACACAGGGTGCTTAGCCACTGAGCTACATCCCTGCCCTTTATATATATATATATTTTTTTTTTTTTTGAGGCAAGATCTCACTAAGTTGCTGAGGGCCTCATTATGTTGCTGAGGCTGACTTTGAACTTGAAATCTTCCTGCCTCTGTTTCCCAAGCCACTAGAATTATAGTTGTGGGCCACTACACCCAGCCCACAGTTTTTATTTGGGATGATGAAAGGTTTTAAAAATAGATAATGGGGATGTTTTTTCACATCATTGGGAATATAACTCTGTTATATACTTAAAGGTTTAAGTGGCAACTTTAGTTATATAAATATTTTAGTATAATCAAAAAGCAAGGGAGGCAGTGGAAAGCAGCAGACTATACTAAGGATCTTTGGCACTTTGATCTTTTGTATCCCTCCTAACTACTTAGTGGCACACAGGCCACTGAAAGCTCTTGGCTGTCACTGACACCAAGTAGCCTGGAATCAGTCTAAAGGTTTTGAGTCATCATTTTGCCTCTGTGTTTATGTGAAACTTGGCAAGTCCTTTAATTCCTCAGAGCCTGGGTTTCCTTCAGTAGAATGTGTAGGTGGGTCAGATTGATCTACCTCATGATTTTTAACCCATTAGAGAGAAAAAGAGTTCATTTGAAACAAGGAGGTAAGTTTGAAAATGGTCAAAATACTGGTTGCTTTTATATGTATATATATGTATTTGCAGGGAGGGGGGATTGAACTCAGGGGCACTCAACCACTGAACCACATCCCCAGCCCTATTCTGTATTTTATTTAGAGACAGGGTCTCCCTGAGTTGCTTAGCACCTTGCTGTTGCTGAGCCTGGCTTTGAACTCACAACCCTCCTGTCTCAGCCTCCAGAGCTTCTGGGATTATGGGCATTTGCCCCCCGCCCCCGCTGCGCCCAGCTAGTTACTTATATTTTAATGTGTCATTAGTGGAATAATTTAGGAGTTGGCAAACTGTGGCCATAGGCTAAATTATTGTTTTTATAATGAAGTTTTATTGATCACAGCCACACCCATTCATTCGTACATTACCTATGGCTGCTTTCATACTACAATGGTGGTAGCCTATCTGGACTGTACATCTACAAATGTTAGATGATCACATTTATTGTGCTCTGAAATGGCACACAGAGAGAAAAAAAAAAAAGCTTCTACCACCTTTTCTGAAACAGAGAAAAAAGACTCCCATTGATGCTTGTGTAAAATGAATTTTAAAACAACTCCATATCATGTACAACCACAAGAATGAGATCTTAATTAGAATAAGTTATACTTCATGTATACATGTCAATATACTCTCTACTATCATGTGTATTTTTTTTTTTTTTTTGGTGGTGCTGGGGATTGAACCTAGGGCCTTGTGCATGCAAGGCAAGCACACTACCAACTGAGCTATATCCCCAGTCCTTACTATCATGTATATCTAAAAACAACAAATATTTTTTAAAAGAATGTAAAAAAACAACAACAAATTCCTAAGATAAGGATGTCTCTGATAGGGATGTCTCTGATTAACAGCGGTCCTGGAGATCCTTTAGATGTCTGCACTGAAAATCTTCCTTCCAGGTTTGGTTCAGCAGGTTGTAATGTGAAAATAGATCCCAAAGCTATCTGCCTTCCCAAAAGAAATGGGTGTGGAAGCGTTTAACAGTAACACATGATGTATACTGAAGAAATCATTTGTAGACTTTTTGGATTTTAATTTTTTAAAGAATTATAACTCCTCCCCTTCTGTTTTCTCTTTGGCGTTCAGGTGATTGACATTTCAATGATCCTGGCTGAGGCGATCCGAAGGACACACAATGGGGAATCCGTGTCTTATTTGTTCAGCCATGTGCCACTGTAAATGCAAAGTGAGAAGTGTCGAGCAGGCCTCCTGAGACTTCTCACTTGATTTATTTGCTTTTTTAGTGTTAGGACTAAGCAATGGTAGGCTAATCACTGGCAAAAGCATCAGATTTTTGTATACTCTGAAGCCCAAGACTATTTCTTTCTGGTTTATTGGGGGAAAGGTGGTGGTTATTTGGTATTTAAGTGAACCATCTTAAATGAATAATGTTTTTATCATCTTGACTTCTTCTGATAAGTGATGTTTTCTTTTGTCCTTTTAGTATTTTGAGGCGACAACTTTCAAGTATAAAATTCCATTGTGGAAATTCATCTTTTATGTATTTTGAGGTTGCCAAAGGTGACTTCACATTAAAGTCTTCTGTGTAAATATATAACGATAATGCCTATGGACATTTGGGTAAAACCCTGTATAGCCCTTTACTTTGGAGTGAATCTTAGAAAATTTTTAATACCAAGAATTTTGAATTTTTTTTCCTTCTTTAAAAATGGTATCTGGGTTTTAAATAGACCACCTTAACTGTTCCCCTTTTGGACCAAATTTTATTTAGCTAAATATGGCCACTGACACGTTGATTTTTGGTAGACCTTAGACATTTCAAAGGCAATATAGTTCTGTATCATTTTTTATTACCACTTTTAAGTGATATTATAACTATCACTTGAAATACCATGTCCCAAAACTTCAAAATTATGTTCTACAATTGTTCTAATTTATAAACCATTTTGAGTTGTGGTTGCTGAGCTCAGGGTCATGTTTATACTCTCCTCTGTCCACCCCAGATAGATAATTCTTTAGGATGTACCTTGTGTCCCTGTTCCTGTCATTATGTTTCTTTACACCATATTTTTATTCATAGCTTTCACTTTGTATTTTTTCCAGTAATTTTGCTTGAGGATTTTTACTAAAATCAATGACTCTTAAATTCCCTCAAATTTACTAAGCTGATCATTATTTTCTTTTGACACACATAAATGTGAATTTTTTATGAGTGCCACCAAATGTTTATTTAAACATGAGCTTTGAGTAAATGTTCTTTTGCCCATGGAAGTAGTAGGTCTCTGGCAAACAAGTATCGTAACTAAAGCTGGTACACCAAAAAAAAAAAAAAATGTGTGCAGGAGAGGCCGATGGAAAGTAAAAATCAATTGCTTCATTAGGATAATGTTCAAAAAGTGGCTCAAAAATTATTGTGAAGATTGTGAAGGGAAAATTCACTGAGGAATGCCTTCTCTATAAATGGCCCTTGATAACATCCTCTTAAGTGAAGTGCCTTGCTATCTCTGTGGCAGAAGCCAAGTGTTGACTCTCTGAATTTATTATATGCATGTTGGTAGACAACCAACTGAATTCATCATCCCCCAAAGAACAGGATTCTCCTGCATAGAAAGCCTAGTAATGAGAAAAACAATCCCCTCTGCTGAATCTTTTGTCCACTGTTTTATTGGAACTGGAGATTAAAACCTCCTCTGCTGAGTCTTAAAACTGATAGAAAATAAATGGTCTGATAGAAATCCTTCAGGTAGAAAAGTCAAACCTAATTCATTAACAAACTTGAACAGCAGTTTCAAAATTCAAGACAGCAGAAGTTGTAATTAGAAAATATCATTTAAATTGTTACTGAAACTAGCATTTTGTTGTACCTTAAAATGGTTTCTGAGAAAGAGTGATGGAACCTGATAAAAAGTCAGCTCTGCAGTGCAGATTGACTCTGTCTAGAAAGAGTTGACTGGAGATGGGTAAAGAACCTATATGGATGCTTTGGAATTTTCCTTTTTGATAAATGTCTAACATCTGTATTTCATGGGATTTCTATGCTTGTGTGAAATGAAAACAATTGTAAATGTTTATGTAGACAGCTTAACATACAAGTATGCAAGTTCAGGTGTGTTGACTAAAGACACTTGATTTAAAGGTGACCATTTTATCTAAGATACTGAAAGTCTAAGAATTTATAGACCTAGTTTTCTAATAATGATTTCCACGTATAAAAAATGGTTACTATCATTATTTAGCCCCACTTTTGCATTTCAAAATACTCCTGAATACATTTATGAACTAATTAGATTAGACTTGGCCTTACACCGTGGAAATACAGGCTTTAACTATTCAGTGGTTTCCAGTTGACAGAAGTGATGAAGAGTGCCTTGTGAACAGCCTAATCCTAGAACATTCTCATTCCTTGCTGTTCATGGTGTAAAAACTTAAATGAAACCACCAAAATGCATCAGTCCTGTCTAACTCTCCTGAATGGGAGTAAACTTTGCATATATCTAGCCAAAAAGGGGAGCCACCAAAATATGAATATACCAAAGTTGTTTAGCCTCCAATTTAAATTATACTAGTCAACTTATAGATGTTCACATGATAACTGTTCTTTATTAGATATGATGCCAACTAGATTCATGAATGTATCATTTGCAGTGCTTGCATTGGTTAGAATCTAGGATTCTAAGATCCTACAGTGTACTAAAACATTTCAATAAAATCCTGCTGACTACTTTGTTTCATAGTTTGCATCATTTTGGTAGAGTTTTGGGTTAATGCAGTACTGAAGGTATTTGCTACTTTACAAGTATAGCCCAATTTACAAAAACAAAAGCCCGAAGTTACTTGAAGTCAGCTCTTCTCCATTTTGAATGGTTTTCTTTGTGAAGGACTTCCTAGCAATCTCTTACCCTAAGGCATAACAGCTATGCCACATAAGACATCTAAATTGGTAATTATAGATATTCCCCTTAAAGATTGCACAGTGTGTTTAGGCATTGAAGTAATGATGTTCAATACCCATCTATTGGAGCATAACAAACTTAAACATAGGCCACATAAAAGTTGTTCATGTGTTTTGATGTCAGAAGCAACCGAGAACTCTTTCTGACCCAGAGAAGACACACCTGTTCAGTGTTGCTAAGTTCCTCCAGTGAAACTCAGCTTGGAAGTATGGATAACACTGTAAATAGCAACCTGATGTCTTAAAGTCACAGGGAAATATGAAGAATAACAACCAGTCTGAACAAAAGTTGATCACGGTGTGATACAGAACATATAGAATGTACTAGAGAGAAGGAAGGAAATGAAGGAGAGGTCAAAGCCAAAAACAGATGCTTTACAATTCTACCTGCTAATTCAGTTACATCTGAAGGTGTTTCACTTCCTACCCAATCCACTGGCTGAACTACAGCCAGGCAAGCTAAGTCGGGAAGGGAAAGATGGATACTAAAGAATTTCAGAGCATTGAATCAGGCTGGGGAGATCAGGAAGGGCTTTGTGAAGGAAGCAGCATTATAGATGGTACTTCACAGCAGAATTTTCCAGAACCTAACGGCCAAGTTCCAGCATGGACTGAAGCAGGACAGCACAGGTTGTTCAGTATGTGATGTGTTTGAGTGAAGATAACCAATGAAGATGGAAACTAGGACCTAAAACATACTACCATATCCTTCATCTGAATTGCATGTCAAAGTCAACAGAGCACCTACTTTTCACTACAGTCATCTATATTACTGATCTATGGTTCTGTCCCCCAGGAACACATCCCTCCACCTTTTTCTTGCCCTTGCTTTCCAAGACCACATTCAGGATGCTTTACTTTATTGCAGTCTTGGAGCTCCATTTTCTCTTCTAGAAGAACATAATGTTCATGAACACAAACTCTACCACTTGCCAGATTTAAAACAACAATTTGGGCTGGTTACTTAACCTCATACAGTACCTCAGTTTCCCTGTATGTGAAATGAGGATAATAATATTACCTCATGGGAGTGTTGAGGATTAAATGAGATTTATCTGTAAAGTGCTGTGAACCCATCTATTTATACATTAACTTAAACTTTTAGATGGGCACCTTTAATCTCCCCTTGGAAAGAATGTAAAGAACAAAGAAACCAAATTTCTTGCATTTTTTAGGTGTCAAACCTAGAAGGTAACAATTCTGTCACCTGCCTTTTAGATGGGGTATGTGGTCTTGGCACATGACTGCCTTAGTCAGTGTTAGCATTTAGGTGATAACAAATAATTGCATTTTGGAAATATTTGCAGTGGGCTTGGAGATGACAGAAGTGAATATCCCCAGATCACAGAGATGGTGATCCATTGAGGCCATTCAATGACCTAATTCTATTCTAGCTCTCTTTCACCATCCCATCAGAAATACAACTAAAAGTGATGCCCAATATAAACCAGAAGAACAGTTTTCGCTCTTCCAACAGCTGGGTTCTGTGGCCAAAAGACAAGCCAACTGAACTTACTTTACATTTTAAGAGGATGATGAAAAGAGAAGGAGGAGACAAAAAAGAATGCAGTGGGAAGCACCCTAAATTGGGAATGTGGCAATCTGGAGTCTGGTTCCTGATATGCTACTAGCATGCTATATGACCTTGGGGAAAATGTCCACATTTCTCTGAGTCTGAGTGTCTCTGTTATGGTTTAGATATAAAGAGTCCCCCAAAAGCTCATGTGTTGAGACAATACAAGAAAGTTCAGAGGTGAAATGATTGGGTTATTAGAGTTTTAACCTAATCAGTGCATTAATCTCCTGATAGAGATTAACTGGATGGGAATTATAGATAGGTAGGGTGAGGCTAGAGCTACCGGTCTCTGGGGGAGTGCCCTTGGCATTTATATTTTGTCTGTGGTGAGGGGAGCTCTCACTCTCTCTCTCTCTCTCCTTCTGCTTCCTGGCTGCCATGTCCTGAGCTGCATTCTTCCTCCATGCCCTTCTACCATAATGTGCTGCCCCATTTCAAACCCAGAGCAATGGAGTTGGTCATCTGCACTGAGACCTCTCAGACAATGAGCACCAAATAAATATTTCCTTCTCTAAAATTGTTCTCATCTGGACTTTTGATCACAGCACAGAAAATGCTGACTAAGTGAGGGGGAAATTATTGCCAAAATCATGAGCATTTTATAGGCTATGGCATCTACTCTAAATTCAGATGAAATTGTTCTACTAACTAAAGGCTGTGGTTCCAATGAGGCAAACGTGGGTTGGTTACTTCTTCATCAAGTAACCATCTTGTTTGGGTTTGCCTGACACTTGACTCAATTTTAGCGCTGAAAATTCTACATCCCAGGAAATCATGAGCAAATTAGGATATTTGGTCACCTTAGTTCCCTTGCTTGTAAGACAAAAAATTCTGGATTCCCAGTACCAGGTTAGCTAAGGAATCTCATGAACAAGACTCTGCCCTTGTGCTGATTGCAAAAAAAAAAAAAAGAGAGAGAGAGAAAGAAAAACAGATTGTATGTCAAGCTCAACAACGTGCCAAAGACCTGCACCATTATAGTTCTTTTTATATCTGTTTTCAACCAACTATAGAAGCTGCACAGCTGCAGGGAAACAATTAGAGAATATGTTCAAGACCTGATATGTTCCATAGTCATTCAGCACAGCTACCGTTAATGCTGTAAATGGCCTGTAAAGCCCTCAGGGCAGAGTCCAGGTGGAGAGCACTGAATGTTTGCTGTTGGACATTTGCCCTTCGGTGCACTGAGGGGTCCCTAAACTAGCCAAGAGGTGTTAAATCTAGTATTGTCTTGCATTGAATCTAAGACTGACCATGAATTATGGGAAAATATTTTAATACTAAAACTGAATTAATATGCACCTTTAAAATCACTGATGAAAAGGAAGACTGTGCAAACCAGCTTTTCCCTGGGGTCAGATACCTCCCCCTCGAGGAGAGTCCCTCTGCTCTTGACATTAAGGACTGGATATTTGCTGTGGGACTTCCCTGTACACTCTAGAATGCTTAGCGACATTCCTGGATACCCATCACTAGCAGTTCTCAGTCCTCAAACCTCATTTGTGATAATGTGACAATCAAAAAGCATGTCCAAACAAAGCCAATGCTCCCTTGGGACAAAACTGCCCTCAGTAATAAAAAAAAAAAAAAACTGCCCTCAGTTGACAACATGGTATATTTTAACCAGGACTTTCTTCCTTAATCTTCTTTCCAGAAGATTGCCATTAGAAATAGAGTCAGTTCAAGTTGGCCTCTATCCTAATCACAAATAGAAAAGCATTTTAGCATACAAAGGATTAGACATGGCAATCATATATTATTTTTTAAAAATTCAACACCACTGTTTTATTACAACATGAAATTTATATAGAAATAATTGCATTATCCTCTTTATGCAGGGTCACAAACACCCATCCTTAAAGGAAAGATTTTGAGTAAGTGAATTGTCTGCTCAAATTCCTCTAAGAATGGTTTCAGCCCTTGTTCTTCGCTTTAAATCAAGAAATTGACATACTGCTAACAACAGCCTTATAAGAGGTAACTGAAATTTAGCCTGCCTTTAACATAGATCTTGAGAAAGCAGATTTTTTGATATGCCATGCAGGTATGGTTACCTGACCCTTCAGTTATTTTTCATCCCACTATGAGACCAGAATGAAGATGAATCATGGCAGCATAGGTAATTTAACTCTTATGCGCTAAGATGGCAAATGTGGTCCATGGTCAAATCACATAGCCCATTACCTGTCCTGTCAAAGATCATGAAATTGATAAGATTTTGGAGTTAGGTAGAACATTGATGGCTAAATGATTCCCATCTCATTTTACAGACAAGGAAAGTAAGATTCAAAGAGATGAATTGACTGTCTTAGGAAGGTCACACTCTTCCTTAAAGACAAACTGGGATTAGAAAATGGGTTTCTTGATTCTTCACATGAGGAGGTTTGCTCTAAACCAAGAAGCTTCCAGTGATTCTAGTGGATAGCTCCTAACAATGAAGGAGCATACCACTAAACCTCAGGGTAAAAAAAGAACAAAATATGGCACAATAATTTCCATCACAGCCTGGACTTCTTGCTTCTGCTAACTTATTAGTTATAAGTTAGTTAACTTAGTTATCCCCATACTTCCTCCCACCCTTCAAATTCTTTATTTTACTTGCTGCATTCTTCTGGTCTTCTTATAGATGGTCATGCTAACAAGCAATCCAAAATAACAACACTAGGTAATAGAGGTTTTTTTATAAATAATGGTAATTTATGAAGTGTAGTGCTGAACTAGCAGCATCTGCATCAAAGAAATTTAGGAGAAAGTTGAAAACCAGCCCTGATGGTTAAATCCATGTGGGTGCTAGTGTGATGGTTCCTGTTATAGTGAAGGGAAGATCCTTTCCTTCTCTGACAAAAAAAGCTTCAGACTCTGGTAAGTTCCAGTCAAATTTAATCATGTTTAATTGTAAATCTTGCAATTCCCTGAGAAACTATGTCAACTTGGTGGACATTTGAAGAGAATAGAAGCTTCTGAAATATGTAGAGTTTCACAATTCCTAGATTAAAAATATCTGATATTTGTATTCACTCACCTGACAGTTATAATTGCCAGGGGCTGTTTTAGTTGCCTAGTATATTTCAGTAGCTACTAATGCTTTGGTTGAATGAGAAGAAAAATGTAATGCTGGTGTTCTTGGAACACATGTATAAGGTAATGCTTCTATATTATTAATATACCACTAGTGAAAATGCAGTTATTAAAA